TGTTTTCAGTGATGCTTATTGCTGGGTGGATGCATGACAGTCAAAGATCAGGTAACTTTTTTCTGAGATCACACCACAAGTCCTAGACCTCAGCACTTTAAAATACAGATTAGATATAATTTGATATTAGAAACAGTTTGTCTTACCTGTGTGACTGAGCACCTCAGACTGGGTGAGAACATTTCAGACACAAGGCCAGACCTACAAGAAAAGGGTTCTGGTGTTTTAGATTAAAAGGGTCCTGTTTGCTAAATTAAATTTGACTGCATAACAGTTCCATGTAGAATGAGAGAATTTAGAATCAAATGACTGGGTCTGACCTAGGACAAAACATGAGCTGTAACAATTTGGTGCTATTAGAGTGATGTAGGTGTGATGGTAGAGCAAACATGAGAGGCAAGGATATTTTTGAGGGTGAAATCTTTTATTAGACTAATTGCATGGTTTATAGAATTTTCTGTTTTCCTAACTGCTGTTTACTGATACCTTAAAGTTTGTTCCTTGAAAAGTAACTGTTATTCCAATGCAGAACTGTGTTGGGAGAGTACTTTTATTCCTGAGTATACTCCGTGCCATGATCTAAAAGTCTGAACTGTGTTGTGGCTGGGGTCCTTTTGTTAGACAGAAGCTGCCTGGATCCCTGATCAGCTGAATTCCTAAGCTGGCAGGAGGTGTTGCTGTTCTGGTTTCCACGAGTGAGAGCACATGGAGCTGTGTAGTGAGGTACCATTGGTATGCCGATGACACCTAGTTCTGTCCATTTTACAAGGCCCAGCAGTCCCAGTCCTTACCCAGTGCCCGGCTACAGTTGTGGATCCAGTGCAGAATAACTAATCAAAGGTGAATCCAGACAAAACAGAAGTGATGGTAGTTGGCAGATCTGGGGGATAGGGACTCCGATCACTGATAGGGTTTGGCGTCTCATTGTCACTTGGCTTTGAAGCATTGAGGTGCTCCCGGATCCTTTGCTGCACGTGGATTTTTAGGTTTTGGCTGTGGCCAGGAGCCCTTTTCACCAGCTCCATCTGGTGCAAAGGCTGTGACTTCGTTTCAGAATCAAATCTGGCCACTGTCATCCTTGCCTTTGTAACTTCAAGTGTGTTGCAATGTGCTGTATGCAGGGCTGCCCTTGGACCATCTGGAAGCTGCAGCTGGTACCTGTGCACTGACAGGACTGGAGTCAACCAGAGCCTGTTAGTCCATGCTCTAGAGTCTGCACTGGTTTCCAGTAGCTGTCTGGGTGCTATCTGAGCTGATGTTTTTGACCTTGAAAATCTTCAGTTGCCTGGACCCTGCATGGCTAAAGGACTGCCTCCTTCCTTGTGGTCTGTTGTAATCCCTAAAATCAACTAGAGATAACTTCCTGCGAGCTTTATCTGGATGCCAAGTTTATTAGTTTGGCAAAAATAGGTGTGTGGTTGTTTTGGATAGTTTCTCTTCAGCTTTGGAAATCCTTTCCTTTCTGGCCCAAGCCTATACATTGTTTGGAAACGCACTTCCTAAAGAACAGGAGCACTTCCAGCGGAGAGCTAAACCCTTTCACTCTGAGTTCTCAGGCCAAATGTTGGGCTTCTCCCCCTGCCCTGAATCGTCTCTTTTTCTAGCCCAAGGAGCCCTAGGCATTATGGTACAGCTGCATCCCAGCTCCAGATTGTCATGCAGGATAGCAGCACTTCTGGCCTGCACCTGAAATTTATGAACAAGGTTTAATTAGGGAAAATCCCCAAGGGATCTGCTTTGTATTGTCAGTCAGTTTAAGTCGGGACACAGCAGCTGTCACTGTGCAAATGGGGAGAGAAAAATGGCTTTTTCCTATGCAGTTGGGTGGCAGTTAAACATGGTGCACCTGGCTGTACGACTCTTCCTGTTTGTTCATGTCTTAGAAACCACCTTCTTTCCTGCTTGTTAATCTTTTGTTGGGTCCAAGCACCTTGCCCAGATTGTCTTCAAGTGCAGTGAAGTCTGTACAGTACATGTTTATACAGTGGCCCCAGTCCTTCCAGTTCTGGTGTGTTGGGGTCCCTTACTGTAGTGTGGTGGGCTTCACCTCAGCTGTTTGTGGAGGTCAAAGTACTTTAGGAACTTGAACCACCTCCTCCGATCCTGTCCGGGGGGACACTGTGTGTTTAAAACTCTTGCCTCTGTTTGAAAAGTCTTCCGCCAGGTTTCCTTCCTCTGCCATGGCCAGGTAGGTGCACAAACAGCAGCCCTTGGCCGGAGCTACCCAGCGAGGCGGGGGGTGCAGGCGGCTTGGCCCGGGCCGGGGCACGTGCGGGCCAGGGGGAGCCGGGGGCCCCGGGCAGCTCCTTCCCTGCCTGCTTGCCTCTGGCCGGCGCGGCCAGGGCTCCCCCTCCCGTCTGAGCCGGCTGCACCGAGGGATGGAGATGGACAGAGCGGGCCGAGCCCCATAGCGGCCCTCGGGGTCCCGGGCGGGGCGGGGACAGGGGCCCGGGGCCCGGGGCC